AAAAAAAAAAAAAAAAAAAAAGAAAGAAAAAGAAACGAAACGGCGCCCAGCTGAGGCGCGTCAGACGCGACAGATTTTGTATCGGACGCCTCACGATCAATGCATCATCGGTCGAGATTGTATCACAGCGCGTCAAACGCGTCAGATTCGTATCCGACATCTCAAAATCGTTGATCGCACGGCCGAAGTTCATCACAGGTGAACCGACACAGCCCGCGGCCGAAAAACGTTGTCATGTTGGTAGTGATAACATAGTAATTCGCAATTTCGCACACATACGTTGTCACACATGAATCAACTACAAGAGTGCACCTTGCAAAACAAACGAAGAAGATAGCAGACAAGACAAAGCACACCGGAACCTCCTTTTTGCCTATTGATGTGCAGCTCCATCGTCAGACAAAATGCCAAGTACATCACCACTTCGCAGGGGTCCCCTGTATAGGCTTCGATATTACTACGAATATGGACGGTCTGGAGCAGTCCAGACACAGGTCTGGCCGGACATCTGGACTGGTCTGGTGTCCAGGGCCGGCCTAACCATGGTTTTTTCCTTCTTCGATATTACTACGAATTTGGTGATGACCCTCACCCAAAAAAAATTGTATCCCCTTAATTGTTAGGGGTAGCTATAGTTGCAGGTGTCCTCCATAGCATTTTCTTTTTCATATTTTTGTTTTTTTTAGGGGGTTCCCCTCCCACTGTCCATTTTCCGCTGCACCGGACAGACCCATCCAGGCAAATGTGGATGTGCGGCCGGTCACTCCAGACAGCTGGGAAGCGCCCGGACATACCATCGCAATACACAACTTTTGGCGGAATAGCATCTCAAAATTCATTGCCCAAGTCCAGTCAAAAAAATGAGAAACAAAACTTCCTTTTATGCCAAATTTTTGGATTTTTTGAAGTTTTTTCAGCCGAGCACCACTAGGTCTGCATGAACTCCGTCGGCCTGACAGTGTGTACATTGAGCCCATCTCAATATCTCCCCAGCCATCTCAATATCTCCGCAGTCTGGGGTAACCAAGATTCATTTGGTATCGCCGAGTACAAAGTCGTTAACTGAAACTTGGACTCTCGTTTGAACGTCCTTCCAGAGACATCTGTTAAAATTGGGAAAAAGGTATTAGCACGGCCCTTACAGAAGGATGACATGCAGAAATAGAGAAAAGGCCCATATTTAACAAATGAAAGAAAGAAAGAAAGAAAGGACTCTAGTTCCAAAAATCTCCAATAGCGTTACGATTTCAGAAACATACCTTTCGGCGTTGTGTGTTCATGGCTTCAAGGTTCATCATTAGCTTGTGCATGTGAGCAAGATCCTCCGCTTCCTCCTGTGCAGTCACATTCGCCAAGTCCTGGTGATCCATACAACACAACGAAGTGAAGCCCAAAGAAAACATGAATGTTTAGCTAACAGAACAGCCTAGCGAACAAATACCTGTAATTATTTGCACCAGAAGAAGCTACACCAACAGAAGTAATACTAATAGAGCAATGAAACACATTAAGGAAAAGCATTAATGACATTGGTAGCCCCCCCCTCCAGCAATAATTCCTGACAACAAAGGAACAGAAAACGCGGAATAGACAGAGGGGGCGGGTGGTGAGACACCGAGAGGTGGAAGTTCTGGAGACGACTCCACAAACAGCAAGAGAACGCACACAATAGATCCTCGTACATCTAAAAGAGCTCATCAACAAGGGCAGAAAGGGCAGAGAGTCAGGAGAGTGGGGTAGAGAAAAAAACAGAGAAAAGAGTGGTCAGTGAGCGGGCAGGCAAGAAGAAACACACAGCGAAAAGAGAAGAGAGCAAGAGAACAAGGCAAGAGAGAAAGACCACAGAGAAAGAGAAAGAAGAGAGAGAGTGAAAGAAAAGAGGAAAGGGAGGCAAGACAGAGAGACACTAGAGAGAGAGGGAGAGAGGGAGAGAGGGAGAGAGGGAGAGAGGGAGAGAGGGAGAGAAGGAGAGAAGGAGAGACGGAGAGAGGGAGAGAGGGAGAGAGAGGGGGAGAGAGGGAGAGAGAGGGAAAGAGAGAGAAAATGTGCTCCTGTACTTGAAGACTGTTGTAACTTAGACCTTGATTAATGGTGTGATTGATCACACCATCGCCATCAAACTCTCACCTTTAGCTGCTCTAGATGTGCCTCATAAACCTTCTTGGTGTAATCGAGAAGTAATTGCCCAAGGGCATCTGTGTTTGGCGTCTGAGGAACTCCCAGACCAGTCATCCACCCATCAAAGATCGCCGTGCGGAAGAGATCAAGTTGATTCACCGCACTTCCATCGCTGACAGGTTCGTGGGTCAAGAAGTCGTAATTCTCTGCCAGCCAATCCCTAATCTTGTGCTGGATGTCAATTTGTTGCATGTGCGCAAAGAGCTTTGCAAGCGATATATTCCCGACCGCAAACTTGCGCGCCTCATCGTTTATGTCCTTCATCCGTCCCTCCAACGCATGCTGTCTCCAAGTATCAGGATCGACGTTCTTCAGCAACCTCAACAACCTTCCGAAACCTGAGTTCTTTGCCTGCCGCAAATCTACACGAAAACCGCGAATATGATCGAAAGAGCTTCTCTGACTAGGGTTCGGTGATGGTGATGGCGATGTCTTCGGCGTTGCCCGACGGCTCGCAAGCCCTCCACGCTCCAGAAAACACTCGACACTCGGAACCTGTCAAAACTCAGCCAATCAGCAAGACGACACATGACATTCGGTGTCAACAGAGTGTCGGTGCACAGCTACACTGACAAGGAATTGAATGAAAAAGGAAAGGATGGAATGAATGCAAAATGCCCTGCTGCCACACAAATTGGAACCGTATTTCACCTTCCAGTGCGATGGAGGGTATGAATGCAAAATGCCCTGCTGCCACACAAATTGGAACCGTATTTCACCTTCCAGTGCGATGGAGGGTACACCCCTCTGCTTCTTCGTTGGTGGATATATAGACATCGAGAGGTCGAATTCACTGCTGCAAATCATATCATAATCTCCCTCAAAAAAAGGGCCTCGATTAGTTTGAAGGGCCAAGGTCTAAGAAGCCATAAACTGTGCCAGATTTACCAAGAATGCAGAATCTGGCTCTAGGGGCAATATGTAAGCCCAGGTGTATAATGGGGTGTCGGTCTAGATAGGGGGATTTGCAAACCGTCTTCCTCCAAGCTACCTTTCCGGTCAGGTGCAGCCAAAATGTTGGTGCGTTGTGTTCGGGGGAAGGCAGTAATAGTGGTGCTTTTACCTGTATGCCACTAAGTTCAGGTGATCTTCCCAGCAGCGCTCGGATATACAGCATGCGAACATGGCTAACAAGCATAGTGTCCATGACATTCAGGCGCTCCATCCGCCTTAGGAATTGGAAAACAGCAGGCCTTATCTCCGCCAGCATTTCATGCTCTCTTGGAGTACCGGCCTTCATCACTGCTGCTAGTACCTACATAACAGCAGGCAAAGTCAATGATTGGGAACACGATCCAAACATCAGATCCTGCAAGACAAAGACTCAACTGCAGAGATTTCTAGAGTGCTGGCAAGATAAGATTAACCACTACCAAAGGATATACTTCACACTAGTCGCTCTTCCACGCAGGAGTTGGAAAAACAAATCGCAGTGATTAATCATTTATGATTTATGCAATAATAAGAATTTGCTGGAACATCAAAACATCCGGATGAGTTCTCCTTGCGGATATAGGAAGGCAGGCAGATAGTGAGAGGTATAATGTAGAGAAGAATATAAAAGTTCAAAAAAAAAAAAAAAAAAAACTTGGCACACAGAATGCATGTGTGCAGCACAATCCGCATTGCACTGCTGCGCATGCACCCGAGAAATTCCAACCACACACAGCCAGTGACCTGTTCTCAACTTGGTTCTACTGATGGTGGTCAACCTAGCTTCTCTTTTCATTTAACTTTTTTTGCTATCAAAATCAGATGGACCGGGCAGGTTATCTGTGTGTGAGCAGTTGGTCTTATGGAACATCAGAAGGACCAGTTAGGACAAGAACCCATTAAACCACCAGTACCCCAGGGGGTCTTAGGCCCCCTCTGGGAAGAATCTGACGCAAATGCATACGGACCCGCGCGGCGCACCGATTCAGCCACCGCGTTAACGGCCTAAGGACAAGGTACTGGTGGTTTAAGAGACATGACAGTGCCAGATCCGAGAACAAGTAGAACCATGGTAGAACCATGGTGGCGATCAACTCTCCAGGCAATGTGTGGACATGCATCAGACGCCTGGACTGGATGCATCTGCAGGTCTATGGGTGCAACAGAAATAGGCGGGTTCAGCTCATGGGGGATTGGAAGGGTGGGGGAGAAGGAAGGGGTGTGGAGGAAATGGCCGATGATTCCCTTTGAAGGGGGGATGGAAATGGGAGGAATACGAGGAGGAGCACCCTTGTGCATTTTTTTTCTTTTCTTGTTTTTTTTAATCCGTGTTCCATTGATGTGACACCTGCGGACACAAACACACACATGCGAACAGGGCATGCCAGATAAACAGGGAAGGCACCAGTTTGCAATCAGACTCGCTTTCTTTTCTGCCTCATACATGCAAACAGATAGCGATTCACACTGGCGCACAGCGCCCACTCAAAACTCAGAGATATGGAACTCGAGAACCCAGTTCAGGCGCAAACTTGCTTCAACAGGCTATGGCGCTTCAGCGCCTGTACAACCCAACTCTCATTATGATATCCAGCACCACTGTTCGCACACAGTCAACTCTGGATCACCCTGAATACCCCACACACTCACACACACACTTGCGTCTCTCTTCCTAACTACCGCGGCTATGGCCGCTCCCCCCACTAACCATGGCTACGCTGACTTCTTCCAGCCCTCTTCGACCTCGGGCGCTCTGCAGACCACCTCGCACAAGTCGCTTGAGACGGCGCTTCCGCATGGCTTATGGAGCGAATGAATGAATCCCTAGACGCTGCCTCTTGATTTATACTTCTGTTGGTCGCTGGTCTGCCCCTTTCCTCCAGGCCCTCAGTGCACACAGTCCCACACGGTACTTGCTTGACTGGACTGCAACTGACTGGACCGGTACCGCTGACTGCACGGCGTTGCACTGCCGACTCGATGCAGTCGCACTGCCTACTCGACACAGCTCAACCTACGACTTACCTACAGACCTCTAGCCTAGCAGTTTCGACCTCTACACATCTGTAACCCCAACTTGACAGATCTACAGCTCGAACCCCTACAACTACAGGAACCTATGACAAGGTACAGTCACTACTAAAACACAGGTCGCGGGTTCAAAACACACAGGGGTCTACTCGATACTGTACACGGGTGCAGGTAAGCTCTAGAGACCGAACCCTGGGATCTGCATCTGCTTCTGCAAAGGTGAAAACCGTTTCACTCCCGCCGGCCTGAATTCGAGGTCCTCCGAGAATGCTTCAGTCCAAGGCCGTACCTTTACCCTTCTTATCTCTCTCATGGGCTCGGACTATATTGGGAGCTGTCTCTAAAGTTCTGCTCTGGTGAAACTGCGGTTGTCTTCAGGTTCTTGATAAGAGAATCTGACTTTGTACTGCTTCTGTGGACGACCTCTACCTCCTGTTCTGAAGACATCCTCACCTACTATGCCATCAATGTCGTACCTCCCATCCATATCCGCAGGAATCATAGACCTTCGTGATGGAAACTGTTGGCTCGTTGTACAAGGTAACAATTTGATGCATGGAAAACTGGGTAGGTGTGGAGGTGTGCTGGAACCTCTATCGTGTAGGATGGTCCATCCTCTCCACCCTTGACTTTCTAGGACCGGCCATGGTCCTCCATAAGCAGGTAGCAGCTTTTGTGAGATGTTCTCCTCAGGAGCAAACTCTTTTGACTTGACCCAGACTAGGTCGCCGACTTGGAACTCTGAAGGGCGACCTTGTTTGTTGGCTTGTTCTATCATTCTGTGCTGGGCCTTCCTGAGGTGGTCGAAAAACTTTCGGATCACTAAATCTATGCGTGCCTCAGAAGGCAAAGGAACGAAAATGGCATACTTGCTAAACCTGTCTACTACGACCATGACTTGACTCTTGCCATTTCTGCTTTTGATGCCAGCGTCCATGAAATCTATAGACACTGAATCTCCCGGTTCTTCTGGGATAGGCAATGGTCTCAGAAGACCTAGAGGGGCTCGCGTAGTAGTCTTGTTCCTTTGACATACTTTGCAACTGCGTACGTATTCTATGCAGTCGGCCTTCATACCAGGCCAGGTATACATACGCATGAGGTTGGCTAATGTCTTCTGCCAACTGAAATGTCCCTCTGTATCATCGCATTCCCCTAAGATCAAGCTTCGGATCTCTTCACTATTGGGAACGCATGGGCGGTCAACAACACTAGTCTTCTCAAATAACAAGCCATCTGTAGTGCGGTAATCTAGTTCCGATTCCTATGCCTCCTTAACGTTCTTGAGAAGGTCACTATAGATAGGGTCCTACGCATACGCTTCTTTGACTCTCTGTTGTAGGTCTCTCCCTATATCCAGATAGTGCACTATCGCCCCAAAGTAGTCTGATCTCCTACTCAGAGCGTCCGCAACTACATTGAATTTCCCTTTGACTGGCTTGAGCTCGAAATCATATTGATCTATCTCTGCGGCCCACCTAGTTAGCTTTGGTGTCATCTTGGCCTGCGTTTTCAGCCACCTTAGTGTCTCGTGGTCTGAATATACTTTAAAGTGCCTCGCAAGCAAATAGTGCTTCCAGTGGTCTACCGCTTGCCTGACAGCGTAGAGTTCCCTCTCGTGGTTGGATGTCGCTACCTTTTCTGAAGGTATTCTAGCAGACATGAACTCTACAGGTATGTATCCATTACCATTGTCTTGCTGTAGAACAGCACCTATACCATATTCACTTGCATTAGTGGTGACGACGAGTGGTAATGGTGGATCAGCTACCTTACGGACAGGGTACTCTATTAAGGCCCGCTTTAACTTCTTCAGGACCATTGCACAGTCTTTATCCCACTTCCAGATTGCCTCTTTCATTAGCAACCTGCGAAGGGGAGCAGCGATGGTGGAAAAGTTCCTCACGAACTTTCTATAATAATTTGCTAACCCCAAGAACGACCGCAACTCTGTCAGCGTGCGAGGAGTCGGTCAATCACTAATCGCTGCTATCTTGTTGTCCTCAGGCTTTATGCCATCTCCATCTAGGACGTGGCCCAGGTATAGAACCTGTGTCTTGGCCCACTCACACTTCTTCGCATTAATCTTGGAGTTAGCTTCTCTCATCTTCTCCAAGACCTGCCTTAGATGGCCCTTATGCTCCTGGAGGGTTTTACTAAACACTAGGATGTCATCTAGATATACAACTACAAATCTATCTAACCATGGCCTAAACAGGTCATTCATACAGCGCTTTGGTTAGTCCAAAGGGCATCACTATAAACTCATAGTGTCCGTACCTGGTCCTGAACGCCGTCTTGTGCTGATCATCAGGATGAACCTCTATCTGATGATAGCCCCACTTCAAATCTATCTTAGGGAAGTATCGGCAGCCCTACACTCGATCCAACAAATCATCTCTTCGAGGCAGTGGTTCTGCGTTCTTCACTGTGATGGCGTTAAGACCCCTATAGTCTATACACATTCTCAACTCTCCCTCCTTTTTGGAAACAAATAAAACAGGCGCTCCAAATGGAAACAAACTGGGCCTAATCCAATCCTTCTCGAGGAGCTCTTGTAACTGCTTTCGCAGCTCCTCTAACTCCCTTGGGGACATTCTATACAACGCTCCTTTGGGAGTTCTACTGCTAGGTTCTATCTCGATTCGGTGCTGGATCGGCCGTTAAACTACTTCTGTAAGCGGCTAAGACAGGTCTGCATACTCCTCCAGCAACTTGGCAATACGAGGGTCTATGGGCTCTCCGGACTTAGGCTCAGTGATTGGCCTAACATAGGCAATAAAAACTTGTTCTTCTAGCTTTTCCTTCTTCACTAACCTTGCAAATGCAGGAGCGCTGAGGCAGCAATGTGCTAAAGGGTTCTGTACCCCTGACACATGACACAGGTGGGCAGCCTTGACTCCACCTGAAGGGCTAGGGAGCCTACACTTATGCTCTCTTAAATGAAGTGTGACCCCTGTTGCCTCTCCCCAGTCCATTCCTAGGACTATATCAAACGGAAGGTTGTCTTCTACGAGGAGAGTCAGGGAATGGAGAAATCTTTCTACCTTCTCATCTTTCTCTAGGCGAAAATAAGCCTAGACTCCCTAGACGTAATCCTCGACTTGTATTGTGCGATTGTCTGCGAGGATGCTAACTATAGGTTCCACTAACTTTCGGACCTTCACATTCAGCTTCAGCTTTTGTAGCGTTTTACGACTAATATAACTACGGGTGGCCCCACTGTCTATAAGGGCCCCTACTCTACCTCTAAAAATCTCTACATCCACCAATACTAGTTGTCCTTTCCCATCCTTCTTCATCTTGGCCCAGGCAGGTATTCTCTCCTTTAGTTCTTCTGCCACGCCTGTGAGGGAAGTGCCTAGAGAGACCCTAACACAAGCGGTCTCTGAACAGCTTTCTAGGCACTCGCCAGCAACCTCTGCCATAGACACATGTGGGTTCGAAGTTTCTCTATGGTGTGCGCACTCTTCTCCACATGGTCTAGGGGTAAGGACAGTTGCGACCCCTACTGGCGGTTGCCTTTTGCTGCCTGTGCAGCAAATCGGGCCTCCCTATATTTTGGGCAGTATTTGATAATGTGACCCGGATCACCGCAGTAAATGCATTGATCCTGGTCTATCCTCTTCTGCCAGACTTTCTGATCGAGGCCCAAATATTCCCAATGCCTGCCCTGTGGCAAGCCAAGGTGCCATCCTCCTCTCCTATAAGGTGATCGATTGGAACTTGGACGGTTTTGCGGGGGACCTTGACCTCTGGCCTCCCTCTTGGCAGTTTCCCCTGCCACCAACCCCCTGATCGTCTTGTCCTCGACCACTTGAGGCACGGCCCCCTTGGCCCCGACCTCCTCCTCTTCCTTGCGGCCTTCCCTCCAGCCGCGACAGCAGCATAGGACCTCCCCTGACCTACACTCTTGTCTTCCTCTTCGAGGCCCCACTCTATCTCACTATACGGGACCTCCTCCATTCCTCCCTCATCCAAAGTCAGGATCAAGCTATCCTTCCCCTTAACCTGCCCTGAAATGGTATGGCCCTTCCACGTCTTACCCTTCTCAAAATCTCTATGCCAAAAGGCCTTCACTGGCGTGGACTGGGCCTCATATGCAACGACGTCGTGACTTAACTTATCATAAGTCATACCCTGCTCTAGCGACTTGTCATAAAAATGCCAACGCCAATTCTCGAGCATCGCACGATAGAATAACTGAAACAATTGTGGCTCAGTGACCCCATGGTCTGGAACTGCGACAAGCTCATCCATGGCCCCCTTGAGTGCCCTTGCACTCTTCCACTGTCGTGTGTGGATTGTCTGGAGCTTGTTTGACGCCTTAATTCCCTTAGTTACATCCGTGAAACATTCACGAAGTAACTTTAGGAATTCATCGAGGGGAGTGATGGTGGAATACGCCACTATATCATTGTCGCATTTGGCGGCGCGGGCTAAGGACATGACGAAGCTAGACGCTTCGCCTTTAAGGCGTGGAACGCGACGAGGACTTGCTCCTCAAGAGTAATATCCTGGAGATGCACGTAAGAGTTAATGTTGGCCTCCCAATTGTCAAAGTTTTCCCCTTGTTTCCCGTTGTAAGCGTCATGAAACTTGACTTTGACTCGTTCTCTACGCGGGTGTGCCTCCTCCTCCTTTGGGGCTGCAATCTTGACGCCCTCTATGGCGACAACACAACTGTTATGTCTTATTTATCCTGGCCTGCATCTTAGAGCCCATCCGCATCATCACATCGTGGGCGAAATCTCTAAAGCCTACTCGGATGGACTGCAGGGCTATGTCATGGCCCCTGGAGGCACGCATCTGCTCCTGCTGGACGCGAATCAATACATCTATACCTTTCGCTATCCCATCCACCTTACTCTGTAAGTCCCCTTGTGCCCGCGCATTTGAACGCTGCTCTGCTGCGGCAGCCAATTCCTTCTCTAGCTCAGTGGCCGCCACTATGCGCCTCCTCCTCTGCCTTCTCAATCGCAACTTACACTCCATTCTTTTCTCGTCTTCCAGGGCCTGCTGCTCTAACGGGTCTGGCAAGGCCTTTATCTCCACAACTGCAGCATCCCTCTCGTCCTGGGGGATGTACATCAATGCTTCTTCATCCTCCCCCAGGGATAAGTTAGCCACCCATTCTGTCACCATCTTTTCCAGTTTCTTCTCATCTTCAATGGTCCCACTTGATTCGCCTCTTTCCTCTCTCCTCAAAGGCCTCACCAGGGGTATCTCCTCCTCTTCTTCTTCTTCTTCTTCTTCTTCTTCTTCTACTTCTTTAAGCTGCTCCTCCTTTTCTTTCTTCACCCTCTCCATCTCTTCCTCAAGCTTCTTCTTCTTGGCCTCCTCTTTTCTTTCTTTCAGTATGGCGGCCTCACTCTCTTCCTGCTCTCTTGTATATGGGGTGGTGCTCGTAACCACTACGCGTGTCAACCATGGTGAAAGGTGTACAATTGGACGACAGTTCCACTCCTCACCACTTAGACTCTCACCCCCTGACTGACTCAACTACAGACGACAGAGCCTTACCCTTTGATCCAGCCAGATTACCACGGCCGACGGAAGCTTTCGCCACCACTGTCTTCTACAATCCGGACCCAGGTGCCCTGCACCTGCAGTCAATCCCACCTGGCTTCACTCTGGTTCAGGACTCCATCAACTAGGGTCTCTAGCCTGACTCTACTTTTAAGCTGTCACTACAGCACTTACTGCCGATCAGGAGGCATTTAACGAGATCCCCCGTAACTCCTCAGGAATTATTTAACGTCGCAAACAGGACGACGCGATCAGCATGTCCTCTCAAGACGTAGACAGCTGGTTGTGCAGCCCACAGCTCGGATTTTGGGCCTACCATGCCACACTGAGCATCCATAGGGCAAACTTCATGGTCAACAGCTCCGATCAACGCCCTGGTCGTCACCTTGGTCAACACTAGTCAACACCCCGGTAAACTCCTTGGTCAACGGTGGTCAACTCTCCGATCAACTCTGGCTATGGTCGCAAACCCTCCTTACTTCCCTTCACCTTCTTTCTTTGTCCTCCCTCGACTATGGCTTTTCTCTCGCCTTCGTCTTTTTCTTCACCTCATGGTATGGCTTCTCTTTATCCGTTCTCTCTCCTTCCTCCACCTCAACTATGCTTCTCTCTCCTCTCTTCGTCCCCTCTCTCTCCTCTTTACTCGTCTTCTCTATGTCCGAGCTCGGCGGCTATGGCCGCCACCTTCTCCCTTAGGCCGCACAACAATCTTGTATCGCTCCTCTCTCTCTCTCTCTCTCTCTCTCTCTCTCTCTCTTCCT